AAGCTGCCTCCCAGCATCCCAGCTGGGAGAGCAAGCCAGTCTCATTCCATCTGTCCCTCGTCTGAGTCCACAGCTTGCCTGCGTCCAGACTCTTCACCAGGGTTCTCTCGACTCTTGGGGTCAGGTCTCTGGCTGCTACCTGGGTAGAATCCTGCCCCGGAGTCCATGGAGATCAGTCCCGTTCCTGTCAGGCTGGGCTTCCTGCCACTGTCTGCGAAAGCCCCTGCTGAGACCTGGCCCGGCTGGATGTCTGGCCTCTGAGCTCCTTGCTCTAGGACAGTGGCTCTCAATCTTTCCAGGCTACTGTACCCCTGTCAGGAGTCTGATTTGTCTTGCGTACCCCCAAGTTTCACCTCACTTGGAGACATGGGGCCTTGCAGTGTGGGGAAATTGGGAGAAAGGTCTGCGATGAGCGGTAACTGCCCCCCATAGGGATCCCCTGTGCCCCCAGCCCGAGGGCCCTGACAGGCCCCAGGGGATTGGGGGGGATCCCTTCTCCTGCAGGCTGGGGGGACGGGGAGTCTCCTTCCTGAGGACGTCTCTCTAACCCCAGAAATTCCCTCCCTTGCCCAGAGATAAGGACCTGGAGGCCAGAGCTGCCAGAGTCAGGTGAACTGGAGACCAGTGGGGAGGGAGTGAGCTTTGATTCTGAAACAGACTGCAGATATATAGATAGATAGATAGATAGATAGATAGATTATATGGGGTATATGGGGATGGATAGATAGAGAGGTGACTCGCCCAAGCACAGAGCCCTGACACGCTCAGTGGTTTGAACAGGGAAGGGGCTGGAAGCCAGGACTCCTGGGTTCTCTCCCTGGCTCTGGGAGGGGAATGGGATCTAGTGGTTAGAGCAAGTGGGGGGAGGGGGCTGGGACTCAGAAGCTCTTGTTTCAGCTCTGAGGCCCTTGGGAGATGGGCCATGAACAGGCGCTGGCAGAAGGCCCAGAGGTAAATGCCCCACAGGCTTCGCCCTGAAGCGATGCTGCCCCCTCCCCACCCTGGTGATGGATGTGGGGGGAGGCCCCGTTTTGCTTCCTCCCAGCTCCGTCAATCTACGACTCCTCCCTGTCCTTCTCTGTCCTTGCCCCCCCCTTCCATCACCTGAGTGTCTGTGGCCTCCCCCCAGGCAAGCCAGGGTGGGTGAAGGGGCTTATGGCCCCACATGAGCACTGAGCTGAGCTGTGTGTCATGGCCTCCGTACTGCTCCGAGCTGGGGGGTGGATTGCCTATAGTGCTGGGGAGGATGGGGCTGAGATCACTTCTGCTGCCCCCCAGACTTTGCGTTGAGTGTGACCAGCTCTGCCCCTGCCTGCCCAGGTCCCAGCTTGGCTGCCCACCTCTCTCCAAACCCACCCAGCCCCAAACCCACCCACTCCCCAGCACATGCCCTCCAACTCCACTGCCACCACCTCAGCCCCACTGGATCACCCATCCGTTCTCTCCTGCACCCTTCCCCGTCCCCCCCCGACCTGGGCTTGATATAGTTGGGGTGATCACCCGGCCATTGGAGGCCAGGTTGAAAAGCCCAGAGGCCCTTTCTTGTCACTGGGGGCCAGCAGGGTTCTGGGACTCAGATCTACGAGGTGGGTCCTGGCCTAGGCCGGCTGGAGATGAGGGGCCCGATTTCAAGCTATGCTTGGCCCAGGGATGGGGGAGCTTTAATATGCTGTTGCACCCCCACCCCCATCCTGAGCTAAGAGCCCGCCTGCTTGTACTACCTTATGCCCGGCTGCCTGGGGCCATAAGGAGCTCCCCCACCCCCACCCTGGCCCATCCCCTATGCTGGGTCCAGGCAATGGATCAAATTACAGGGGTCAATCCAGTTCCACCAGCTCCCTGCCCCCAGGCTGGGCTGCGTCTTACATGTAACTGAGCACCGGGATTCATCTCGGGCCATCTAAAAAGACGCCCTCCAACTCCTGGCTTTGAACCGGGGCAGGAGCTCCCCTGGGCAAAGGCCTTCGGGGAAATATCCGGTGCCCCATAGCCTCAGCCGGGAGCTTGCAATGGCAGCTGGCAGCAAAGATAGGCCAGGGCCAGGCTGGGCAGAGCGGGGTGCTGCGGAACCTGTCCTGTGGCAGTGAGGTGGGGGAGGGGCCCTCCATCTGGTCCTGGGGAGACCCTAGCCGGGTGCCAGTAGCTGGTGCCAAACAGAGGGCAACTTAGTGAAGCCCAGCCCACAAAAGCTTCCAGGGAAAGGTGAAGAACTGAACTGATGGGCTGGGGGGTGGGTTATAATTCTGTCCCCAGCTGCCAGGGCGGGGGAGGGGGAGACAGGGTGATTTCCCTGCCTCTGCCAGAGCCCCCCACCACAGATCCTGCGAAACCAGATGGCTGATCCCCAATACCTCTTGACACACATAATCTCAAGGTTTCCCCAAAGCCACGGGGTCAGTGGGGTGAGCAGGTTGGACAGGGCTCCCCATTGCTCTCCAGCGGCTCAGCTTTCTTTGAGTCGGAGTCGGGGTGTCAATCTTTACCTCTTGTTAAGGCTGGGAAGGAAACCTACACAAAGTGAGCCAATGCACCGGCACTGCCTGGGCCTGCAGAGAGCCTGAGCACAACACTGTGTGGGGGAAGAGGGGAATCTTCCCAAGTGTGACCAACACAGCGATGCTGCCTGAGGCTGTCGAGAGCCTGAGCCATGAGCCCTGTGAACTGCTCCATATCCGGGTCACAGGGCTGAGGCTGTGGGGGGATTGGCCATGCTGGGGGTCCCTCCTGCCCATGCGGGGGCAGCCAGGCCCTGCAGACTTTGCCCCTGGCCTTGCTGGGCCCTGTGTCGTGCTGAGATTTGGGGGCTTGGCCTCACTGGGGCTTGGCCTTCCGGGCTACTGTGTTTTCCCCCTTCCAGGGTAGCAAAATCTCTCCAGACCAACTATCCAGCTGCCTTTCCAGGCTGCTCTCTAACCTAAGACTATGCCCCTTTCCCATTAGAGGGCAGGGGAACCCGGGCCCATGCATTACTCCAGGGTCCAGCCCAGGGACCCTCTATCCAGCAACCCCGGTCTGTTCACTCCCAGACCCCACTGCTATTTCACCGTGCTCCTTCCTATGTCTCTCTTTCTTGCTGTTCTGGCCCAGCCATGGGTGTCCAACTCAAGCTCCCAACTCCCATGGGGTGACTGCAGCCTGCTTTCCCTGCAGCCTGTTTCTGCTGGCAGCTTCCTGGCTTTATACCAGCCCTGCCTGTTCCTTTTCAGATAGGCTCCACCATCAACCCAGGGTCACTTAGCAGGGGCGTGAGGGGGGAAATGTTCCCTGGACCTTGGTAGCTCTTCCAGGCTGCTCCTGCTCCAAACTAGGACAGCCAACTGGCTGTCCTGACACCCCCTATCCACATGCAAACCCTCTCAAGTTGCTTTCAAGATGGGCTAGTTGTGGAATGGGGAGGAGAGAGCAGAACCAGCCAGGCTAGTAGCAGTGGGGAGTTCATCCCCACCCCACCCCCCAATCCATGTCCACCAAATTGGACTGGAGACACCACCATCCATTGGCATCTGCGGCACCTCACCTCCGCCTTAGGGAAATCCCCCGTTCCCCAGCCAGCCTGCTGGATTTCTCAGCAGCTCCGGTGCTGTAGCATGGAGGGGTTTTGGCCATCAGCTGTGCTGGAGGAGCTCCGTGGAGTGATGCTTGTAGGGCATCTGGCCTGGGGTCCGTGGGAAAGACGATGGGGCTAAGAGGTGGGTTGGGCAAAGAGCATTTATTTCAGATCGAGACAGACATCGTTAGCACAATTAGAAAATAGAGGATAACCCCTGAAAAACACAGTGCTAGGAAAACGGGGGGCGGGTGTGGGAAACGGAGGGAGCACTAGGAGGCCACTCCCATTTCAGCCAGTTGCCCACTGTGCCTCTGGCACTGGAGTGGGGCCACTAACAATACAATCTACCTAAGACAAATGTGGTAAAGTACCTGGCACTGCACATCTCCCCCACCCTGCCCCAGCATGTCCCCGCGCCACGGCAGTGTGACGGAGCCCATCCTCAGAGATCGGCCCCTCCTTGCTCTCTGTGCCCAGTGGAGCAGGTGCCTTGTTGTAAGGAGAGAGGCAACAGCGACCGGGAGCGAACCCAAGTATCCCCTGTGCAGCATCCATCAGAGAGGAGGCCACAACAGCCCCAAGACACAGTGAGCACAGCTCTCCATGGGGCCCAAAGGCTCCTGGGACAGTCCCATGAGGTCAGGGCCAAGCCACTTGGGATGCCAATTCTACCCCACTGCATGGCCCTGTGGGCGTGCCAGCTGTCCCCTTGTTGAGTGGCACATCGGGGACTGGCCACAATCGCACCCCCAGGAAGAGGCGGCTGGGAGCTGCTGGAAGGTGACCTGTGGCTGGAGACGCTGCCAGCCCTGAGGGGCCAAGCTCCGGTACCTGTCTGAAAAATCAGATTTGTCAACGAATAATAATTAGGGGGCATGGTCAGGGGGACGGGACCCACCTTGTGGTTCTGAGCTTGGCTGGGGAAAGTGCCAGCTCCCTACGGGTGTGAGAGCATCTGGGGTTCAGCCTGGAATGCACCCCACCCCCTAGGGCTGGGGGCTGCCTCTCTCCCCACACCGCCCAACCTCTCTGCTGTCTGCCCCTGGTTTCCCTGCTTTTTCCTTTCCAACCCTCCACTTGTTCCTTCCTGCCCCCCCGGGCTCCCCTCACTCTCCTGCCCCTCATCTGACCCTGAGCGGTTCCTCAGCCTCTCTGCCACCCACCCCCATCTCCCTCTGAGCCCTGCCTCCTGCCCCTACATCTCCATATCTCCCTGTCCCCCTCCTGCCCCATGTCCCCTCACGCCCTGCCTCAACCTTTCCTCCTACCCCTCTTCCAGCCCCCTCCTGCCCCTGTGATCTCCCTCCTGTCCTTCAGGCTGCCCCCAGCCTCCCTGCTGCCCCCACCTGCACCTCTGACCTCTCAGCTCTCCACATTTCCCTGCAACCCCCTCCTGCCCTCTATACCCCACATCCCTGCCCCCCCCCCACATCCCTGTGACCCTTCAACCTTTCTGCCCCCCACATCCCCTTGCCCTTGTTTCCTGCCCCTGGCCCCCTCAATGGGTTGTTGTAGGGGGGCACGCTCTACAGCACAGGCTGGTTTCATTCGTGGCCGCCCCCCCAAAACAGGAGAGAGCAGCCATTTTGACTGAGGGAAAATGGCCAGCTCCCTCAGGGTGTGTCTACACTGCACACTAAGCCTGGCTCTGACTCAGGTTTGAGCCCCAGGCCCCCCTGCCGTCCACACACATGTTGGTCTGACTTGGTTCAGCAAGCACTCAGGGCCCAGGGCCCTGCTGGCTGGGGCCAGCCTGACCAAAGCTGGGGTGGGGGGGGGGGTCCCAGCCCGAGTCCTGCTGCAACACGGGTCTTAGCCCCAGCATCTTGCAGTGTGGATACAGCTCAAGCTGCAGCCCCAAGGCAGAAGGGCCACGCAGTGCAGTGTGGACATGCTAGCCCAGCTGGGGGATCGGGGCCAGCATTTGTAAACTCAGGTTTACAACGCAGACGGTGTGGGCTTGGACACACAGAGTGCACAGGCCCAGCTCCTCCAGACCCAGGTTTACAGTGCAGTGTGCACACAGCCTCCATGCAGAGATGGGGTAGAGGCCAGAAATATCCTCCTGCAGCCTCTGTGCTCCTCTGACAACCCCACAGAGACCTGCTGGTCCCACAGCAAGTGCACCCCTCTTCCAAGGTTCGGGAACAAAACCTCCTCCCTCACATGTGCGTGTCTTTGTTTGTATCTCTGTCTCTCTCACATACACACACATGCACGAGGAGCGTTCTCTCTCACATGCACACACAGGAGGGTTCTCACATGCATGCAGGAGGAGGGTTCTCTTTCACACACGCGCACGAGGATTCTCTCTCACACACACACAAGGAGGTTTCGCTCTCTCTCTCTCTCTCACACACACACACACGTTTGACTCTAGGGTTGCCAACCCTTCAGGACTGTCCTGGAGTATCCAGAAATTAAAGATCAATCTTTAATTAAAGATTATGTCATGTGATGAAACCTCCAGGAATATGTCCAGCCAAAATTGGCAACCCTATTTCACACACACACACACAGGAGGAGGTTTCACACACACACACACACACAAGGTTTCATACAGACACATGCACATAGGAAGTTTCACACACACAGGAGAGGCGGCTTCACATACACATGCACACACATGGAGGTTTCACACCTGCACACATGGCAGGAAGTCTCTCACACATACTCCAGGAGGTTTCACACACACATAAGAATGGCCATGCTGGTTCGGACCAAAGGTTCATCTAGCCCAGTATCCTGTCTCCTGACAGTGATCTATGCCAGGTGCCCCAGAGGGAACGAACAGAACAGGGAATCATCAAGTGATCCATCCCATCATCCATTCCCAGCTTCTGGCAAACAGAGGCTCAGGACACCATCCCTGCCCATCCTGGCTAATAGCCATTGATGGACCTATCCTCCATGAATGTATCTAGCTCTTTTTTTAACCCTGTTATAGTCTTGGCCTTCTCAACATCCTCTGGCAGAGTTCCACACACACACGGATATACACACATAAGGAGGTTTATCGCACACGCACTCATGGATAAGTGGGAGGAAGTTTCACACATGACATTTCACACACATGAATGGACGGACATCCACATGAGGTTTCACACACACACGGACACACAAGGAGGTTTCTCACACACACACACTCACACACAAGGAGGTTTCTCTCTCTCTCACACACACACACACACACAGAGGCACAAAAGGTTTCTCTCTCACACACACACACGCTGTTCTTGTCTTGGCACGCTGCCTGTGCGCGCTCTCACACCATGTCTACACTGAGGGAAGCAGCCTGGCCTGGCTGTTCCAGACTAACTTCTCCACGCTGGCTAGTGCCGTCTGACAGAGCTATTCTGGATTCACTCCCTGGACCAGGCTGGCCTGCTCCTCTAAGGGCCAGCACCCTGGGGCTGGCTCGCCCTGCTGGGAAGGGGTGAGGCCAAGCCTGGCAAGGGCTGAGGGGGCTAGCGCCTGTGACTGGCCTGGCAGAGCAGAAGGCATCTGAGCCTGCCACCAGGGCTGGGCAGGGGGGTTGCTTTGGGGGCAGAGTGATTGTCCTGGGATTGAGTCCCTTTTCCCTCGGAAGAGTGCACCCACCTGGGGCTGCAGTTTCAGTCAATCTCTCTGTCCGGACGAGGTTTTAGATAGGGCTGGATCATCGTCCGTTCGCAGGGCAATCTGGCTGCGGGGCCGGTGATACTGTGTGCTCCCCAGGGGGCCCACATTACCATCCACGCCCCAAGGATGCCCGGAACCCAACTCTGGGTCAGATCCTCCTGTACGGTCGTTGCAGCAGCTTGGATGTGGGCACAGGGAATGCTGCCCCCCTCTCGGTTCCCAACCCTAGCCCAGGGGGGTAGGAGCATGTCAGTGTGTGTCAGCAGGGGCACCAGCTCTCCCTCCAGGGGACGAGCACCCCAGAGGGTGGCAGTGTGGGAATTGGTGCCCCCTTGGTTCCCACGCCCTCCCCGGAAGATGGAGCACTCTGGGAAGAGGTGGCATAGGAGCTGGCACTCCCTGAGTTCCACACCCCCCATGGGTGAGGAGTGCCCCAGCAGGAGCGGGCGTGACAGCTGACACCCCCTCAGTTCCCCATACGGGAGAGACACCCCACAAGGTGGCAGTGTGGGAACTGGTACCCCCGATTCCCATGTCCTCTCGTCCGATGATGGAGGAGGGCACTGGGGGGTGTGGGAACCACTGCCCCTTGGTTCCCACGCTCCACGCCAGGGCAGCTACTCCTGGTGGGTCCTCTGGTGGCGGAGGAGGTGGGAGGTGGCTCCGAAGCCCTTCCCGCAGTCGGCGCACTTGTAGGGGCGCTCGCCGGTGTGAGTGGCCCGGTGTCGGGCCAAGTGGGCGTCGCGGGTGAAGGCTTTGCCGCAGACCCCGCACTCAAAGGGCTTCTCGCCCGTGTGGGTGCCCTGGTGCCGGGCCAGGTGGGCGCTGCGGGTGAAGGCTTTGCCACAGACGCCACACTGGAATGGCTTCTCGCCGGTGTGGACGAGCTGGTGCCGGGTCAAGTGGGCGTCGCGGGTGAAGGCCCTGCCACATATGCCGCACTGGTAGGGACGCTCGCCAGTATGGGTGCCATGGTGCCGGGTCAGGTGGGCGTTGCGCCCGAAGGCTTTCCCGCAGTAGGTGCACTTGTAGGGGCGTTCGCCGGAGTGGGTCTCCTGGTGCCGGGCCAGGTGGGCGCTGCGCCCAAAGGCTTTCCCGCAGTGGGTGCAGGTGAAGGGGCGCTCGCCCACCGGCGGCGGAGCCAGGGCCGGGCCCTTGCCACGGTGGCTGCAGGAATAGGAGCGCTGCTCTCCGCCTGAGTGGGTGCCCAGATGCCGGGTCAGGTGGGAGCTGCGCCGGAAGCCCTTGCCACAGTACGGGCACGTGTTGGCCTTCTCACCCATGGGCGTGGCCGGTGCGGGGCTCCAGCAGCCTGGGGTTATGGGCGTGGCCAATCCTCCAACGAGCCTATAGAATCATAGAATCATAGAATATCAGGGTTGGAAGGGACCTCAGGAGGTCATCTAGTCCAACCCCCTGCTCAAAAGCAGGACCCATCCCCAATTAAATCATCCCAGCCAGGGCTTTGTCAAGCCTGACCTTAAAAACTTCTAAGGAAGGAGATTCCACCACCTCCCTAGGCAACGCATTCCAGTGCTTCACCACCCTCCTAGTGAAAAAGTTTTTCCTAATATCCAACCTAAACCTCCCCCACTGCAACTTGAGACCATTACTCCTTGTCCTGTCCTCTTCCACCACTGAGAATAGTCTAGAACATCCTCTCTGGAACCACCTCTCAGGTAGTTGAAAGCAGCTATCAAATCCCCCCTCATTCTTCTCTTCCGCAGACTAAACAATCCCAGTTCCCTCAGCCTCTCCTCATAAGTCATGTGTTCCAGACCCCTAATCATTTTTGTTGCCCTTCGCTGGACTCTTTCCAATTTCTCCACATCCTTCTTGTAGTGTGGGGCCCAAAACTGGACACAGTACTCCAGATGAGGCCTCACCAATGTCGAATAGAGGGAGACGGTCACGTCTCTCGATCTGCTCGCTATGCCCCTACTTATACATCCCAAAATGCCATTGGTCTTCTTGGCAACAAGGGCACACTGCTGACTCATATCCAGCTTCTCGTCCACTGTCACCCCAGGTCCTTTTCCGCAGAACTGCTGCCTAGCCATTCGGTCCCTAGTCTGTAGCTGTGCATTGGGTTCTTCCGTCCTAAGTGCAAGACCCTGCACTTATCCTTATTGAACCTCATCAGATTTCTTTTGGCCCAATCCTCCAATTTGTCTAGGTCCCTCTGTATCCTATCCCTGCCCTCCAGCGTATCTACCACTCCTCCCAGTTTAGTATCATCCGCAAATTTGCTGAGAGTGCAATCCACACCATCCTCCAGATCATTTATGAAGATATTGAACAAAACCGGCCCCAGGACCGACCCCTGGGGCACTCCACTTGATACCGGCTGCCAACTAGACATGGAGCCATTGATCACTACCCGTTGAGCCTGACAATCTAGCCAACTTTCTACCCACCTTATAGTGCATTCATCCAGCCCATACTTCTTTAACTTGCTGACAAGAATACTGTGTGCAGCCTGGCTTCGCTACCAGGACTGTTCCCTTTGGCTCCTCCCAGGCAGCTTCAGGGATCCCCTTCTTTCTTCCCTGCTTCCTGTGAGGACAGAGAATCCAGCCGTGAGTTGCTCCTGCTGCCCCATTTCTGGTGAGAGGAAGCGTGGCCTAGCAGATAGAGCACCGAGACTCAGGGCACCTGGCTTCTATTCCCGGCTCTGGCCTCCTGGGCGACCATCCTGCTCCGTGCCTCAGTTTCCCCACTTGTACAATGGGGATTACACTACTGAGCTCCATCGTCAAGGGCTTTGAACTCTATGGATGGAAAGCACTGGGCATTATTATTAATATAGGAGCAAGGCCCAGCAGCTGAGCCTGGAATCAGCTGTCTCCAGGCTGTCTCACGAGTACATCTGAGTGCCAGCAGAGCTGCTTGGTGGCCGGCTGGCCTGACTGGCTGATGTGGAGCCAGTGGGCCCTTGCTTTGAAGCTCAGCAGCAGGTTGCTGGCTGCTTAACGCTTATGCCCGCCACTGTGACTGCTCCTGCCCCAGCCTTGCCTCCCAGCCTTGCCTCCCAGCCTTCTTCCTGTCCTGCTCTGGTCTGCTCCTTGCCTAGTTTCTGCTTTGATGGGTGACAGCACAGGAACCAGCACCCCCCACATTCCCACCTTGACAATCAGCTGTGTGAAACTTCGGTTGACTGGCAGTTCCAAAAAAATTGGGGAAAAACAAATCATTTTTGGGTCAACCCCAAAATGTTTTTTTAAATGTTGGTGAATCTTTTAAAAATCGAAACAATCATTGTTTTGGGTCAAGTGAAATCTTTCCGTCAATCCAAAACATTTTGAGTCGCTTTCAAGATTTTTTAAAAAAATGCATTTGTCTTTTAAAAATAAAATAGAAGGCAGATCCTAACCAAAAAGTCATTTCAGCCAGCAATTCATATAGAAAATGTCATAAGGAAACTTTGGACTTTTGGGGAATTTTTGTTGTTTATTCCCACACCCCTCCCCCCCATGACCAACAATCTGGTAAATCAGACATGAATTCGGGAAGCGTTTTTGGCCTCACTGAATCTGCGTTTTTTGCTGAAAAAAATGTTCCACTCAAAAAATGTCACCGAACTCTAGTTACTTGCTAGAGGGGCTCTGGGCGGCTTTGCTGGGACTCCCGTGCCCCCCTGCAGGGTTCCCAGCTGGTCTAACTCCCTGCTCACCTGGTTTCTCTTCGGTGTTGTCCTTTCCTCCAGGCCCGACTGTGGTCACATCCGCAGGAGCTCACAACAGAAAATCCTACTGAGGGAAAGCATTAGAGTAAGGTCAGGTGTTCCATGACAGCTCCTAGGATGGTTCTACACTCTCTGCTTCAGGGATCCAGCCAATCTAGAGCTATTTGGGGATGGGACGGGACTAGAACAGGGCAAATAATGGAGTTTTTGGTTAGCTGGCAATTTTGAAAAGTTGGGTGGGAGAAAGAGAGTTTCTGGTCAGAGCAAAAATGAACGTTTTCAAAATCATAAAGTTGGACAAATCTTTTTCGGAGTCCCTGCTCTGCTCCCCAGGGTAGAGTTCCCTACCCTGTAAGTATGGCCTGCATTCTGTTTTCCTAGACAGATACATTTTAAATGTAGCTGTACTAAAATGCATATTGTTTGCTTGAGCCCAGTTTACCAAGCAATCCAGATTGTTCTGTATCAGCGACCTAAGTTCCCCCTCCCCCAGCCCCAACCTAGCCATGGATCTGCCATGGCTAGGGGATGCACCCCTCCCCTGGCCCCAACCCAGCCCCAGCCGGGACCTGCTGTGGTGGGGAGAGGTGCCTCTCCCACCCAGCCCAGATACTGCTGCAGGGAGAGAGAGCTGGGGGCAGTTCTCTCTCCCCACTGTAGCCCTGGGACAGCCTGTACCCCAAACCCCTCATTCCTGGCCCCACCCCAGAGCCTGCACCCCCAGACGGAGGCATCATTCTCTCCCCTTCTCACACCCCAAATCCCTGCCCCAGCCTGGAGCCCCCTTCCACAATCCAAACTCCTTGACCTCGCCCCCCAGCCTAGAGCCCCCTCCTACATCCCCAGTCCTTCATCCCTGGCCCCACCCCAGAGCCCGCACCCCCAGCCGGAGCCCTCACCCCCTGCACGCCAACCTTCTGCCCCAGTCTTGAGCCCCCTCCCACACTCCAAACCCCTCAGCCCCACCCCTGCCAAATGAGTGTCACACGTCACCTCCATATTGGTGCACATAACAAAATTCATTCCATACATGGGTGGGAAAAATTAGAGGGAACACTGTCAGTGACCCATCCTCTTCATTATTTACCACTCCCCCAATTTTTGGGTCATCTGCAAGCTTTATCTGTGATGATTTTATGTTTTCTTCTAGACACTGATAAAGATGTTAAATAACGTAGGGCCAAGAACAGATCTCTGTGGGACCCCCTGGACACATATCCCCCAAATGATGATTCCCCATTTAGAGTTACATTTTTGAGACCTATCAGTTAGCCAGTTTTTACTCCATTTAATGTGGGCCACATTAAATTTATATTGTTCTAGTTTTTAAATCAAAATGTTATGCAGTAGCAAGTCAAACACTTTGCACAAGTCTAAGTCTATTACGGCAACACTATTACCTTTATCAACCAAACTTTTAATCCCATCAAAAAAAAAATAGCATGTTAATTTGACAGCTCCCAGAGTCTCATAGACTTTAAGGCCAGAAGGGACCATCATGATCATCTAGTCTGACCTCCTGCACATCGCAGGCCACAGAACCTCACCCAGCCACTCTTGTAATAGACCCCTCACCTCTGGCTGAGTTACAGAAGTCCCGAAATCATAATTTAAAGAGCCCCCTCCTGATTTAAAGACTTCACGTTACAGAGACGCCACAATTTACACTAGTTTAAACCTGCAGGTGACCCGTGCCCCACGCTGCAGAGGAAGGCGAAAACCCCCCCATGGTCTCTGCAAATCTGACCCAGGGGAAAATTCCTTCCTGACCCCAAATACGCTGATCAGTTGGACCCTGAGCATGTGGGCAAGACCCACCAGTCAGACAGCTGGGAAAGAATTCTCTGCATTAAGTCAGAGTTCTCCCCATCTAGTGTCCCATCATTGGCCGTTGGAAATATTTGCTACTAGCAGTCACAGATCAGTCGTAGGCAGTCCGATCATACCACACCTCTATAAACTTATCAAGTTCAGTCTTGAAGCCATTTCAGTTTTTTGCCCCCTCTGCTCCTCTTGGAAGATTGTCCCAGAACTTCACTCCTCCGATGGCTAGAAAGCTTCATCTAATTTCAAGCCTAAACCTGTTTATGGCCAGTTTACATCCATTTTTTCTTGTGTCCACATTGGTGCTTGATTTAAATAACTCCTCTCCCTCCCTGGTGCTTATCCCTCTGATTTATTTATAGAGAGGAATCATATCTCCCTTCAGTCTTCTTTCGGTCAGGCTAAACAAGCTAAGCTCATTAAATCTTCTCTCATAAGGTGGGTTCTCCATTCCTCCGATCATCCTAGTAGTAGCCCTTCTCTGAACCTGTTTCAGCTTGAAATCATCTTTCTGAAACATGGGAGACCAGAACTGCACAGAGAATTCCAGGTGAGGGCTCACCAGTGCCTTGTATAATGGCAATACCACTTCCCTAGCTCTACTGGAGATTGTGGGAGAAGCTTGGCTTTCATTTGTTTATTTTTAAAACTTTTTAAAAAAATCTCAGTTCCCATTTGTGTGTTTCGCTTGTTTGGGGGAGCTGCAGGGGGAATAAAGCATTGGGCTGGAACTCAGGAGATCTTTGGGTTCTTTGCTACCGGCCTGCTGGGTGACCGGGGCCAGTCACAGCCCCACTCTGTGCATCAGTTTCCCCATCTGTAGAATGGGGCTAATGATACTGAGCTCCTCAGTAAAGAGCTTTGAGAGCTGCTGGCTGGCCCCAGGCCCCTCCCCCCTTCAGCCTTCTCCCCCCGCCAAAGATCCCAGCCCCCCACCTCCAGCTGCCAACCCCAGCTTCCCGCTTCCTTCCACCCCAATTCCCAGCCCCCTCCCCTCACCAGCCCCAGCCCCTTCCCTGCAGCCCCTTTTCCCACCCCCAGCTCCCAACCTCCCCACCACCAGCTCCCAACCCCCATGTCCCCCAGATCCCAGCCCCCCAGTGCCCCTCCCCAACTGCAGCTCCCTGCCCCTTCTCAACCTCAGCCGCCGGCCCCCCTTCCCTTCCCAGCACTAGTTCCACCCTCTTCCCTGCAGCCCCTCTTCCCCCCATCTTCAGGTCCCAGCCCCCCTCCTCCCCAGCTACAGCTCTCACCCCCAGCCCCCCTCCTCCCCAGCTGCAGCTCTCACCCCCAGCTGCAGCTCCCAGCCCCCCTCCTCCCCAGCTGCAGCTCTCACCCCCAGCCCCCCTCCTCCCCAGCTGCAGCTCTCACCCCCAGCTGCAGCTCCCAGCTCCCTCCTCCCCAGCTGCAGCTCTCACCCCCAGCCCCCCTCCTCCCCAGCTGCAGATCCCAGCTCCCTGCCCCCCTCCTCCCCAGCTGCAGCTCTCACCCCCAGCCCCCCTGCTCCCCAGCTGCAGATCCCAGCTCCCTGCCCCCTCCTCCCCAGCTACAGCTCTCGCCCCCAGCTGCAGATCCCAGCTCCCTGCCCCCTCCTCCCCAGCTACAACTCTCGCCCCCAGCTGCAGATCCCAGCTCCCTGCCCCCCTCCTCCCCAGCTGCAGCTCTCACCCCCAGCCGCAGATCCCAGCTCCCTGCCCCCTCCTCCCCAGCTGCAGCTCTCACCCCCAGCCCCCCTGCTCCCCAGCTGCAGATCCCAGCTCCCTGCCCCCTCCTCCCCAGCTGCAGCTCTCACCCCAGCCCCCCTCCTCCCCAGCTGCAGCTCTCACCCGCAGCTGCAGATCCCAGCTTCCTGCCCCCCTCCTCCCCAGCTGCAGCTCTCACCCCCAGCTGCAGATCCCAGCTCCCTGCCCCCCTCCTCCCCAGCTGCAGCTCCCAGCCCCCCTGCTCCCCAGCTGCAGATCCCAGCTCCCTGCCCTCCTCCCCCCTCCCCAGCTGCAGCTCTTGCCCTCCCCCAGCTGCTGTGGCCCCCAGACCCCCCGAGCTGCAGCCCAGCCGCCCCCACCCGCTCTCACCGGTGCACACGCCGGGCTGGGCGCAGGAAGGTGCCCGGGCCCCTCTCTCGGTCTCTCCTTCCCCAGCCCCGGCTCCGCTCTGCACCGCAGCGGCTGCCAGCTCGATGGTTGTTAACCCTTCCCCCGCCAGACGGCAGGCAGGTAGACATCCCCCCAGCCTCCCCCTGCCCCGGACGCCTGGGTTCCGCAGGGCGCCCCTGGAGGACCCGAAGGGCAGCGCCCGGGGCCCCCTGGGGGCTGAGCAGAGCTGGGCACAGCACGGAGTTTCCGGTCCCTGGCTGATTCCCCAAAGTGGGGGGCGATTGGGGAGGGGGGGGTCATTTCAAGTTGAAAATAGCTGAAATGTTTAGTGTCTTGAAAAGTCGGAAGGAGAAAAAATAATTTTTCCCTTTGACTTCGGGTGGAGAAATGTCCTGTGGGGTCAAACCGTTTTGCTCTTGAGCAGTTTCAAACATTTAAAAATAAAACCAGGGGACGTTTCGAAACAAAACGCCCTTTGGAACCAAAAACTAGACACAATCTGCCTCTGGGGGAGACGAACTTGATCTCTTTGTCCGATGAGATTACAGGTTTGGGGGATAACCGTGACGTAATAGACGTAGACTTCTGCAAGGCGTTTGGCTTCGTCCCGCCTGGCACTCTGCTTAAACAATCTAGAACGCTATAAAATGAACAGGACCCACGTCGAATGAATTAAAGAACGGTGGATAGGTCTCAAAATGTAACTGTAAACAGGGAATCAAGAGGCTGCATTTCTATTGAGTGGGGTCCTGCAGGTATCGGTTCTCGGCCCTCTGCTGTGAAACATTTTTGTCAGTGACCTGGGTGAAAACATAAAATCATCATGGATAACGTCTGCAGATGACACAAAAATTGGGGAAGTGGTAAATAATGCAGAGGACAGGTCACTGACTCAGAGCAATTGGATAAACTGAGCGCAAGCAAACAAGACACACTTTAATGCAGCTAAATGTAAATGTATCCATCTAGGAACAAAGACTGTTGGCCATATAGAGAATGAGATGCTCTCTCCTGGGAAGCAGTGACTGGGAAAAAAGATTTGGGGGTTGTGGTGGGGGTCGTGAGAAGTGGAATCTGTCATGCCTCTACACGATTGGCACGCTTGTAGGGTTTCAAGATAAGAACATAGGAATGGCCATATTGGGTCAGACCAATGGCCCACTTAGCCCCATATCTTGTCTTTGACAGTGGCCAGTGTCAGATGCTTCAGAGGGAATGAACAGACCAGGGCAAATGCAAATGATCCATGCCCTGTCATCTAGTCCCAGCTTTCAGCAGTTGGAGGTTTAGGGACACCTGGAGTCTATCCTGGCTACTAGCCAGTGATGGACCTATCCTCCATGAACTTATCTCATTCTTTTTTGAACCCAACTTTTGGCCTTCACAACATCATGTGGCAATGAGTTCCACAGGTTGAGTGTGTGTTGTGTGAAGAAATATTTCCTTATGTTTGTTTAAAACCTGCTATTAATTTAATCAGGTGACCCCCTAGTTCTTGTGTCACATGAAGGGGTAAATAACACTTCCCTATCCCCTTTCTCCACACCAGTCATGATTTTATAGACCTCCATCATATCCCCCCTTAGTCGTCTCTTTTCCAAGCTGATCAGCCTCCATCTTTTTAATCTCTCCTCGTGTGGTAGCTGTTCCATCCCTCTAAATTTTTTCATTACTCTTCTTTGCACCTCTTCCAACTCTAAGAGAGCTTTTCTCCGATGGGGCGACCAGTACTGCATGCAGTATTTCAGGTCAACAGAGAGGACAGGTCACTGATCCCCAGCAATGTGGATTGCTTGGGGAGGTGGACACAAGCCAGCAATATGCCAAAATAAAGTCATACAGCTTGGAACAAAGAACGCAGGCCATACCTACAGGATGGGGGACTCTATCCTGGGAAGCAGTGACTCTGAGAAAGATGTGGGGGTGGATGATCGGCTGAACCCGAGCTCCCAGTGCGACGCTGTGGCCAAAAGGGCTAATGCAATCCTGGGATGCACAAACAGGGGAAATTTGAGTAGGAGTCAGGAGGCCTTTTCCCTCTGGATTTGGCACCGGGGTGACTACTGCTGGAATCCTGTGTCCAGTTCTGGGGCCCACCATTCAGAAAGGGTGTGGATAAACTGGAGAGGCGTCAGCAAGGAGCCAGGAGAATGATGAAAGGTTTGGAAAACACAGTGATAGACACTTTATAGTGTCAGACTTTAGAACAAGTACCCTCCTGCTTTCTCACATCTTGCCCCTTGGCAGGGGTGCTGGAATGGGGGGGGGGGCAACGGGCTGTGGCCCTCCCACTTTTTGCCACATGCCCAGCCCCCTGCCTCACCTCTTCCCCCGGAGGCTCTGCCCCCACACCAGGCTGGAAGTTGGAGCTTGGCCCGGATAAGAGCAGCCTGGGGAGCCTAGGAAGCTGTGGGGAATTGCAGAACCTCCACCTACCTGGGTAGGGGGGCCTGAGAGCAGCCCCCAGCCTGAGTCCCTGCCCAGGGCAGATAGTGGGTCATTAGTTCCCCACAGCTGCCCAGGTGGCTCTTACCACGGCCTAGCTCTGGCTCTTCGGCCCCTGAGGCCCCGCCCCACAGCCAGGCCAAAAGCCAGAGCTGGGTCGGGTATGGGGAGCCATGGACCCTCCACCTGCCCTGGGTGGGAAGTTTGGGGGTGGGGTCGGGGAGCAGGTGGAGGGACCCAGGCTCCCTGTTCCCCCGCCTCCAGCTTCTGGCATGGCTCGGGGGCGGGGCCTTGGAGGGGAAGGGGTAGGGCCACAGGGATGCCTCATGGACCCCCGCTCCCATTTTTAGGAGGAATCCATGGCTCCTGCCCCTTGGGAGGAGGCCACAAAGCTGCCTCATTAGCCACTTTCAAATCCCTCCTGAAAACTCTCCTTTGCCTTGGTGCCTCTAAAAAACTTGACGAGAGTTTGGCTGCTGATGTGTTGAGATCCTGTCTGTCACACTGACCAGTATTATCTTGTTGTTCCCTTGAACTCTCCCATCTGTCTGTCTCTCTCCATCTCTTGTCTCCAGCTGCTTGAGAAATGGATATGCCATCCCATAAAAAAATTCCAATTTTTCCGGAAGAAAGAAAGAAAGAAAGAAAGAAAGAAAGATCATTCTGATTGGAACAACTAGCCACATTTTTCAATGTTTGCACACAACTAAATTTCCCCCAAATCAAAAAAAAAAAAAAAAAAAATCAGGTCTGTCAAAATGTTTCTTTTGCATTTTGACCCTTTTTAATTTTTTTAAAGGCTCTTACGTAAAATAAAGCGAATTTCAGAACAAAAAAGTAGCTTTTGAGGCAAGAAAAATCAAATCTTTTGGTCCTGCAAAATGTCGACACAGAATGGTTCCACGTTGTCGAAACGTTCCCCCCCCCAAACATTTTTTGAAATAAAATCTTGTCACCATTTCTCCAAATAAATATATAAATAAATACAAATGGGTTTTGTCAAAACAGCATTTTCCAATGGAAAACTGTTTAGACAAAAAGAAAAGGAGTACTTGTGGCACCTTAGAGACTAACCAATTTATTTGAGCATGAGCTTTCGTGAGCTACAGCTCATGCTCAAATAAATTGGTTAGTCTCTAAGGTGCCACAAGTACTCCTTTTCTTTTTGTCTAAACAGTTTTCCTTTTCTTTTTGCGAATACAGACTAACACGGCTGTTCCTCTGAAACCTGTTTAGACAAAATTTTTTTCCAGTCAGCTCTTGTCTTACACGTGGATTATAAACTCTTTGGGGGCAGGAGTTGTCTTTGTACAGCGCCTAGCACAATGAGGCCCTGGGCCATGACTGGGGCTTCTGGGTGCGACCGTAATACACGTAATAAATAATGTACAGAGCTACATTAGTACAGATAACAAATAATAATAATTCACATATTGGGTACAAGGAGAACAACCAGTTGCCTAACCTCTCTCCAGAAGATTGTAGTAGAGATGGGGAACAAAACACAGTTGTTCTGGCCTGTGTCCTCAAGATCTCCCTTCTTCTCCCATGGCTGACATGTAAATTGGGCTGTAATCTATTCATTCAGTGAACCAGCATATGCCCAATGCTGTTGGCCTGGCCTGCCCTTAGGCATTCTGCCAGCAGAGCTATATTGGCTAGGAGTATGAAACGAATCAGATAAAGCTGGTCGAAACTTTTTGACTGACATTCTTTTGCCAGTGAGAAATGCAAATTTAGCAACGCCGAAACATTTCGCTAATTCGTATCCAAGTTGCCAAATTGCTCGTTTAAAAAAGAAATTCCTAAAAAGAAAAAAATTAAAAATAACCCACCCTAAAACACATACCTAAAATAACATAACTAAAAAACAATAAAGGAATAATAATAATAAAATGATAAGAAATACAAAATAAATACCTGCAAAAATAAAAGGAATTCCCCCAAATATCTAAAACAAATACCTAAACACAATTATAATAAATGATAGTTAAGCATTACAATAAATAATAAAGTAATAACAATAAAATGGTAATAAGAAATAAAAAATAAATACCTTAAAATATTTCTTAAAAAATATCAAGAAGTATCTAAAACAAATACTTGCAATAAAATAAATCATAGAAGCATAGAATATTAGGGTTGGAAGGGACCTCAGGAGGTCATCTAGTCCAACCCCCTGCTCAAAGCAGGACCAATCCCCAATTCAATCATCCCAGCCAGGGCTTTGTCAAGCCTGACCTTAAAAACTTCTAAGGAAGGAGATTCTACCACCTCCCTAGGTAATGCATTCCAGTGTTTCACCACCCTCCTAGTGAAGAAGTTTTTCCTAATATCCAGCCTAAACCTCCCCCACTGCAACTTGAGACCATTACTCCTTGTCCTGTCCTCTTCTACCACTGAGAATAGTCTAGAACCATCCTCTCTGGAACCACCTCTCAGGTAGTTGAAAGCAGCTATCAAATCCCCCCTCATTCTTCTCTTCTGCAGACTAAACAATCCCAGTTCCCTCAGCCTCTCCTCATAAGTCATGTGTTCCAGACCCCTAATCATTTTTGTTGCCCTTCGCTGGACTCTCTCCAATTTATCCACATCCTTCTTGTAGTGTGGGGCCCAAAACTGGACACAGTACTCCAGATGAGGCCTCACCAATGTCGAATAGAGGGGGACGATCACGTCCCTCGATCTGCTCGCTATGCCCCTA